CACAGCAGAAAACAACCCTTGGCCACCACACGCACACGTGCTCTCGCTCGCCCCCGGTAAACACGGCGAAGCGAGTACAGACTGAAAACAGAACACCAACACGCTCGTCCGCTTCCTGCTTTCTGATTGGCCAAGGTTTATTTCTGCCGCTTCTCACAAAACGCAGATTTCCTTTACTTCGTCAGACAATCTTTCGCGTTGGATACATGTGCTGGATGATTTTGTGTCACGCAGACTGGTAAGATAACCGTTTGATAGGGGGCACCGCGATGATTCACGGGGCCCCTCCTTGCTGTGGGAGCCGCTCTTTGAGCACTCCCTCTTTCGTCCGTGTGAAGGATGGTCGTCTACCTCCCGTGAAGTTAATACATCACCAAAACAGTCTCACCCGATAAATAAGTGGCGTAGGCCGCAAACATTTTATCCTATCTATGTAGCCCGGGTGACAACTCGATGGTTGTCGGAAACGCCCAAATTATCGCCGAGGTGTCGTATTCTGGGGTGTGGTTTCTTATGTGGGTGCGTTATCTTGTGGCGTCTACGGTATCATGCTGTGTTCCTGATACACTCGATACGTTCATCCCTTGAGGTGTACATTGCTACAATACAGCTGTGATGTGTATTCTGTGTGTGTGGGGGAGTGGTTTCTAAAGTGGGTGTGTTATCTTTTAGGCGTCTTCGGTATGCTGCTGTGTTGTTCCTGATACACTCGATACGTTCATCCCTTGAGGTGTACATTAGGGTGTTTGCGAAAAGAGTGAAATGGCTTGACATCGGTCTTTTTTTTACCCCGAACAGCTTTATCCGACGGCGGGGTCCAATTTTGGTCTTCAGGCTTTGCTGAATTGCCCTCGCAGACCAGAGAAAAAGACCACTGTGGTCTTGGGGTTGTGGGAAAATTTCTGGCAAGTTTCCTTTTTTACCCCAAGCACCAGCAGCACGCGAACTTGCGAAGGCATTGCGCGATTACGCCCGTGCAAGCGTCATGTTGACTCCGTCGGGGTACCAGAAGACCGTGAGGCAGACGGCTCTTCACCAGAGGGCTGGTGCGATGCACGCGGCGGACATGATGGAGCTGAGTTACTGGGACACACGCATCTGTTTCCACGTCCTCTTCAGCGAAGCTGTGAAGCACCCAGAGATGCTCCTCGAGTACGGAGAGGAGGGGGCTGGGGACGGAGACAGCGAGGCAGAGAATGAGGCCCGCTTCATGGAGTTCGGGATGCTTTATTCGAACTGGTGTTTTCTGCCATGCTCAACTAATGCTGTACGTCGTGGGAGCTGCTGTTACTGTGTGGAGTGGGTGTAGGATCGCTGTTGCGTTGCTCTGTGTCAGGCGAAGGGTGCCAGATGATTTGAAAATTTTCATGTATCCACCACGGGGGTCCGTGAGCGTTTCATGCGGTACCCATCAGGATTTTCGCCCCGATAAAGACCGCAGTACCCGTTCTGCTCTTCGCATACCCTTTCAAGACCGAATTCCGTTTTGGTTTCAGTCTTTTGTGTGGTCCGCAAGACCAAAACCAATTCACTCTTTCGCAAACACTGGATTGCTCAAATACAGCTGTGATCCCCCATGCTTTCGGTTCAGCCTCAACCCGACGCAGCCCCTCTCACCTTGGGAAGTCATGGAAACAACCGCTGTGCAGTGCGCCGACCAGCCTGCAGCAGCAGCAGCCAGTAGGGTTTGTTGGGTGTACAGCAGCAGCCAGCAGGGTGTACAGCAGCCAGCAGGGTGCAGGGTGTACAGCAGCCAGAAATGTCTGACTTTACGTACGGAGCAGACGACGGTGCCCTTTACACAGCAGTGAATCAAGTACCGATTGGGACCGGAGAACTGGTTTCTAAACATCATTTGGTGCTCGATAGTCGATGCTCGATGCACAGCTGTCGGTGCAGGTGGGAGGTGGGAGGTGGGAGGGTGCGAGCTGCGACTGGGTGCGAGGGTGCAGGGCAAGCCCCATCGCCGACTCGCTGGCTGGATCTCTTCTCTGTCGTCTTCATGTGGCGATCAGCTATAGTCCCACCAGCCGGCTGGCACCGGCATCGCGAACATATCTTGCACCTTGCACCTCGCACTCCTCACGACCCTCTCATCCTCATCAACACCACTGGCATGGTGAGTTGAGTTGTTGTTTGCTTGCCCCCGGTGATGGGTTGAAAGTAGAGTATGGCCTTCTATGCTACAGCTAGCTCGGTGGTTGCCGCCAGTGCGGTGGTGGCGGCAGCCGGAAAGGGGAAGGCAGAAACGACACTTTTTTTCGAGCTGTAGACCGGGACTCGCGCCGTCACTGCTTCTCCATGTGCTGTTGTCTACAGCGGTAAGCGTCAAATATTCTTGAGTGTCCTCTCTCTTACACGCGCGTCAATGCTTGTATCAGTAGCTCCAGAACCATTTCAATCCCTACCATAGCTTATCTCAAAAATGTTTAAGGTTTGCGATGTAGACGTTCTCCTGGGGGGCAGCGGCAGCGATACCATCGGTGCTGTTCTTGGCGCAGGTAGTTCTCCTGCGGGATGGTTGTCAACGATGTATAGTTTGGGATGAAATGAGGCCTCCGGCTACGGCACGGGATCCACCCATACTTCACCCTTCGGCTGTTCATGCTGTGTCGGTGACTGATGTCTGATATTTTATCCCAAACTTCCGAAAATACTAGTAAATCGAGGTTCGATAGCCATTAGTCTACGGCCCGAACGCAAACGTCTCCGCGAAGCCTTCCTGCATGGGCAAATCCACTGCTTGGATATCCCGCTGCTCCTGCTCCCTCCGGTCCGGATCTCGCGGACGCTTAGCGGAGGAGCCCCCCCCGTGAATGATGGGGCCTACGTACCGCTGGACTACCTTTCTCGTCTTCCACCCCACTAGCTCCATGAGGGCGTCGATAGCCGTCCCCGCGAGGGACTGGCTAGCGGCTCCTCCGAACCTAAAGGAGTGCATAGTATACAAGCCGTGGTGGTCGTTCAAGCGGCCTTCCCGCATATGACTTTGCAGAGCCGCTGTCATACGAGCTGCGGTCCACTGGGACGTCCCCCTCGAGCCATCTTCTTGGATCTCGGGAAACAGGTAACCCTCACGCATATTCCAACCCACGGACTTCGCGACAGTGAAAATTTCTTGTACCGCTCGGACCGGACACAGTTCAATACACTTCTTGTCCCTTTTAGCAACGACTGCGTGTGACGAACTGCGGAGTGTCTTGCCAAAGTGAATGTTGAAAATCATTCCTTGGCCTGCTGGGAGGCGCAACACCTGTGCTGCGAATGCGCATGCCAAATCGAATCCCCGCGGCATCGTGTTGATGGCATTACGAACGTCGCGACGTCTCTACTGCGAGCCACTCGCTCACCCACGGTGTGTAGCTGGTCTACGGTGTTGCGCATGTGCCGTGCGAGGCGCAAAAGGAGCGGGGCCAACATGGGCCTGGCTTGTTCAACGGTAACTCCCGCCCGGCGCTGTTCGGTTTGGGCGTACGAGAGGTACCGACGAACAGACGCGCTATCGGCCGCATTACCTCGCTTCACCCTGTCGTCCCACGGATCAGAGTTTCCTAAAATCTCGACCATGGCTCTCTTGAGTTTCGCGACGAATCCTTTGTCCAATGTTTGGACCGCGTATCTCTTCGCCCACGTATTTCCCGGACAACAGGACTCCAACGAATTTGACCCGATCGCGACACAATCGACTGCATGAACCACCTTCGTGCCGTTACCGTGAGAATCCAACCAGCACAACCAGCCAAGTACGTCGGCGTCGGTGGCGCTCTCCCACCCTCGACGCCCTACGGTGTGCGCGTCGAACTTATACGCCACGGCGGATTTCCGGAGTTGCCCGGCTGTAGTCGCCGAGGCGACCTGGACGGCTTCTTTGCGTGCCGCTAGTCGATCGGCATCGATGACCACGGTGGCCCCGGGAACACGCGGGTCTAAAAGCCCTCGAAGCGGCTGTACCTCGCAATGTTGACAAAAGTTGAACGTCGCTTTGTTTCGTGCCCCACACGCACTACACAAGACTTGTGATACCCGGTCCGGCGCGCGCGTGGCCCCGGGTGGAATGCGCTTTAACGTCCCCTGGTCGTAATGCTGATGTCATACGGACGAAACGAACGATGATAAGGAAGCAACACCTGTCAACTATCATACGATATGGTTCCATAAATGACGAAAGTCCAATTCTACCTCTCGCATTCCGTGTCTAATGTAAACGTATTTGCGAATACCGTCCTGATAGTGAGGGTATCCAAAACTCCTCCGTCTCGGCAATACGAGCGATTTGACAGTAGCTCGCCCAACTCGCGGTAGCCAATACTCGTGCACATCCGGTATCACGACTACAGCGTGGGCCCGGCATTCGGCGAGATGCTGGAAAACATGACCCACCATGACCGGTGATGGGAAACAGTACCCAAACGCAGGCGTGCCCAACCCCGGTGTAACCGCCACATCCTGACGTAAAACATCTACGCCCGCCGTTCCTTAGCTCGAGTAACGCGAGAAAAACGGTAGTCGGCACTTGGCCCCTGTGTCACGCCCCACCTTATATTGGGCGTTCTCGGAAGACGCCATAAGGTCTACTGTGAAGTCGCCAAAAGACAGGCGCAACCTCTCAAACGCTGCCGGTCGGAGACAGACGATCTCTTGCCTCCCCGGCCGCGAAATGTTATCAGCGACTGCGTTCTCCGCCGATGGCACCCATCTCAGGGTGAGCCAGAAACCGTGTGCGACCTGCAACTCGAAAAGACCAACCAATATCGCATGGGTAACTGAGTTGCTCGACTGCCCTTTCCGAAACGCATCGACGGTAGCTCTATTGTCGACGTCCATCAGCACCCGGGCCGCCTGAGCTCCCCCGACCGTTCGTGACAGCATTACTTCAATACTTCGAGCAGCGCAAACATATCATTGCCGTGAATGGAGCGCGGCAACCATTCCGAGGGAAACCCCCCTCCTGCCGAGAAACGACCACTTCGTAGCGATACGACTCCGCCATACTGATTAGATCTAGACGACCCGTCCGACGACGCTGTCGTGATGGCAACGTCGTCATGTCGGGATTTATAACACGGCCCCTCCTGCGACGTGGACGACAGGTTGAGCCATATGCGTAGCTCCGCGCGGAGATCCTGTTTGTCTTTCAACTGAACGACGCGGCCCTTTGCGTTCTTAATCGCTGCAAACATGTAGTGGGTCCAAGGAGACGCCGGCCGAATCGCCACCGACATGCTGACCCATTTTCCAGCGATCTTCTCCAACATTCGTACCGATACCGATCCGTCCGCGAACACTTTCCGGATGAGCGCATGAAGCTTGTGTAGCGTATCGTCCGGAATCCGATAGGAAGTGGTACGCGAATCGCGTATGATACCCAAATACCGCTGCTGCTGCGACGGATAGAGATCACACTTTTTGATAGACAGGAAGTATCCGCATTTATACGAGACTAATATTCCGGTGTGGAGAGCTTCCGCCGCTGACAACCACTACACGCGGTCGGACTTCCCAAACGTGGCCACAAAATTTTCGTACCATGCATCATCGATGTATGCAAGCACCGGTATCCCCCGGGCGCGTAGATACGCCGCCTTAGCTTCGCTTCGGGAATGATAGCACACCGGGCTCTCGTTCCATCCGAACGGAAGTGTAGAACACACAAAATCGACGCCTTCGTAGTGTACACCGAAAAGTGGCCAACTCGCGGGTTGCAGGCTCAGGTTATGGAAGCCCGCTCGATCATCTAGACTCCCCATGAAAACCCCCTCTTCGGCTACCACCGCTACACGTGAAACCGTGTCCTGTAGAAGCTGAAATCAACCCATTAGACTAGTCAGCGGCTGACTAGTCTAATGGGTTGATTTCAGCTTCTATAAAAGTACGTCGTGGGGCTCAATGAACCCGACACTTTCCTTCCGAGGAGGGATGCTCCCCTCGCCAGCCGCTACTATCCATCCAATGTCTATTTCACTTCCGTTATTCTCGACTCATCACCCACATCCGTTCTAGAATGGATGTCCAGGGTTTCCGACGACGAGCTTTTTTCCTTCTCTCAAAAGTGCACCGACTGGGTATCGAACCCACGACGTACTTTTATATCAGCGTAGAAGCTGAAATCAACCCATTAGACTAGTCAGCGCTGACTAGTCTAATNCCCGACACTTTCCTTCCGAGGAGGGATGCTCCCCTCGCCAGCCGCTACTATCCATCCAATGGCTATTTCACTTCCGTTATTCTCGACTCATCACCCACATCCGTTCTAGAATGGATGTCCAGGGTCTCCGACCACGAGCTTTTTTCCTTCTCTCACTCTCGCAA